AAAACTTCTCCAGATTGAGTGTTGCAGTGAGTCATACTCCCCACATTGAGTGTTGCAACTCTCAAATTCTTTGTTTGGACTAGCTTCTTTGGCTGTATCTGTCCTTGGTGTGGTATCCCTTGCCCATTTCCCATGGAATCTGGATGTTGATCCTGTGCATTGCCTATGGGGTATGTCCTACCTAAGTTTGTTTCTTGGATCCACATCATGATGATTTGCAGAGGTTTTTGCAGCTGGATACCCTTCCTAACACTAACCCCCCCTCCTTTATCCAGGCTTGGAACCGGCATTGAATGGGTAGAATTGCTTATCCACAGTGGAGTTCTTCAATTTAAGGAGGATATACTAATGTATATTCATGTTTCAGTCAGGTAAAAACGTACAGGGATAGGAAAAGCATTGCACAAAGAAATAAAATTCTAGTAACCCACAGGCTTGACGAATAAAGAATGGTGTTTGTAAATTTTAGGAACATTCAGTAGCATTGTTAATAATAAACTGCAGCATAGTGAATTAGGGAGATCTCTTAGGTTTGTTAAATGACTGATTCTCCTCCCAATGAAATTAGTGATTAATTTCCTAAATTATATGTTCTTGAAATTCATAGAAAGTACTGAATGGTAAGGCATTACAAACTAGGAGGATTAAGAGAGGTGAAAAGGTGCCTTCGAGCCACGTTGCATAGGCAGCCACAGCAATGAGCTACAGCAATGAGTTTGACACAGTCAAGGGATGAACTGATTCTGATAGGCACAAGCATAGTATTTCTAGGAGCCTTCCCTCTTCTTCTTCCTTCCCCGAGTGAGTCTGTCTTTGCAGAGGCATGAGCTTAAACCAGATAAAGGGTTACTCAGCATCTGCAGTGCACTTTTATATGTTCCAATATCTATATTTGAAGAGCTATCAACTCGTATAAATAGATTTTTTTTCTTCATTTTCAGTGCCATAGATTTAATTTTATTACAAATAAAAAGGAAAGCTGAATTCTTTAGAATCAAGAGCTTTTATTAACTGACCTGTTTAGGAAGGATAAGCACCAGCTAAATAAAGCAGTATTGTTCACTAGCAGAGCTGAGTTTTAGTGTTACTGAAAAAGTGTATTGTGCTTAGAGATATACAAATTATTCCAATTGACAGCAGTTCTGCAGTTGAAGTTATATTGAGATATTGTTGTCTAATAAATAAATCCCTGTATTTCACATGCAAAGGGATTTATTTAGTCTTCATACTTTAAATACTCACATTTTTAAGGCAGTCAAATTTTGTTTAGGTTTTTTTTTTCCTAAAAGAATTAGCAGCTTTGGCAGAGTAAACCTTTTAAAATGCCCCTTTTTAAATTAGGCCCCAAGACATCTTTTTATTCAGTTTCCTATTGTTAGGGTGACAATAATTCAAATTAATCGGGGAGCACTGGATCTGCAGCTGGAACAAGGCTTTAACCTGTCTCTCAGCAAAAAGCTGCTGACCACAAGGCAAAATGGTATATTAAAATAATATGCTATTATTAAAATAATATGCAGATGCTTAGGCAAGTACTTTCTTTAACAAAGGGAGTAGTATGCAGGATAAAATAAAATCACTAGGCAAAAGGAAACAGGATGCCAACCACCTATCATTAGGAGATAAGACAGAAGCCAGACCTTGGAGAGGCTGCTGAAGTCAGCAGAAAACTAGAAAGAACCAATAGTTGACTGAAAGTAGCCAGGCTCACGGCCTTACGTGTGCACTCTTAGCAAAGAGGCATGTAAATGAAGGAACTGCATAGGCAATTCTATGCTAATTAGGCAAACAGTAAACAGAGGCGGAGCTTGAGATGGAAGGAGAAATGGGTGGAACAGGAGGAAGGATGAAGGTGGAGTGAATGTTAATGAACCTGAACCAAAATGTATAAATGTGGAAAAGAACTATTGTTCAGGGCTGTTCCCCGTGTTCGTAGACTGGGTGACTGTGAGGGAGCTCACCTGAAGCTGTCTCCATTTTGAATAAAGCTGTTGTGAGCAATGTGTGCTGGTGTTTGCTCCCTGCCTGCTCTGGCTAATGAGTAACAGGACCCATGAGCAATTGGACTGTCGTCTCCCTAGTCGTTGGGTGCCACATGGAGTCAGGGTCTAACACCTATAGTTAAAAAATCATACACACCATAAATGCCAAACTTCAGGTCACATACTTGTAACAAACAGCTTTCCAAATATTTGTATGTAGCACTTTGTGGCAGGGGGCCATCCCAAGGCCAATAACACTATTGGCCTGCCCACCTGTCTAGGGCAGTCTGCCCTGATTTTCCTGCCAAACCTTGATGTATCTGAACTGGATGTAAAAATGCAGGAGGCTGCCCATTTAAAGCTTTGATGCTAAGGGCATTATACATGGCTCTGACCTACCCTTTACCATGCCCCATGCCTTGCAGATGGCATCCAAAGATCACTTACACTATTACTCCCCCAGCCCCATAGCTGGGCTGCAGTAGGCCAGTAGTCCAAACTATCTACTATCACTTCTTCTGGCCCCACATTGTTGCCCAAGCTTCACTCTCAGGCTTCAGGCCTTGGGCCCTCCTGGCCTCCATGTTGTTGCCCAAGCCTGTTGCTCTTCTCTCAGGGTGTGCTCCCCTGGCCTTTCTCCTCCACAGGGTCACCCACAAGGCTGCAGGGACTGAGGCTTTACAGAGCCCCATACTCACCTTTCACTAGGGAAGCACTGGTGTGGCATTTCCTGAGGACTGCCACGCCACCAGCAGCCCCAACACTCCATCCTCTCCAGCAGGGTATAGTTTTAAGTCATTCCCCAGGAACAACTGCAGGCCTACCTGCCCTGGTCTGACTTCACCTCTCCAGGCTCCTAGATGTCCTTCCTGGGCTGCTCTCTGTCCTGGGCACTATTGCAGCCTCCATCTCATAGCCTGCACCCAGTCACTGGCCCATCTCTCTCAGACCCCCTTATAGGATGCCTCTCAATAAGAGGCTGAGCTGCAGCCTCCTTCATCAACAGCCTGCATGGTGGCTGACCCCTACCCTCTTTCAGTAGTGATGTCTCCCCCATCAAGGGGACCTTCAGCCTCTTCTAGGCTCAGACCCCACCTTTAGGTCAGTTGGGGTGCCAGTAGCTCGCCACAGCCCTGGCCTGCCTTTGCCCTATTGGCCCTGGCCCCCTTGCATTGGCCAGTTGAGAGTCTCAGGAGCAGCTGATCTCCCTACTCAGCAGGGGTCCCCCCTTGGGCTCTACCATAAAGCCATCAACTCCCATCTAGCTTGCCCAGAGCTCCAGAAATCTTATGCCCAGCAGCCCTTTACTGGGCTCATCTGAGCCCCTGACCTCAGTCCCAGTCAGTTCTAATCAGGGGCTTGCCTAGCCCCTCAGTAGGCCCACACACTATAAGCCCCTTCCTAGGCTGGCCTCACTCTCCCTAGGCCCATAGCCTTTTCCTTGGGGCTTGGGACCCCCTGGGTCCTAAGGAGCCTCCTTCATCCCCATAGTTCCTACCCTTGACTTCCAGATGTTCTGGGAACAGCAGATCTCAAGTTGGGTGGTGTTAAATCAGCAGCATCCCTGCAACAACTTCTGGCTCAGCTTCTCAGTGCCTGCTCTTATACTGCAGTTGCTCAGTCCTGCTCCAATCAGGCAGCCTCCTGGTTGTCATGTTACCACCTGATTGGCTCTGCAGTCATCTGCAGGCTGCCTCACAGCCTGCTCAGGCCCTTAAAGTGTCAAGCACCCAAACACGCACTGCCACACACTTCTTTCTGTAATGTGTTACTACTTAAGTTAGTTTTGCAAAAATACACCCCTGACTGATCCATCTTACTATGCTGCCATCCTTCCTTCTGGCTTCCAGCTTTAGAGTGAATTGAGTTTTAGTTTTATAGTAAAGGAAAAAATTGAATGAGATACAGTGTAAAAATAAAGTTATACTATTTCAGTGTAATAGACCAGAGGTTGTCAACTGGGGATATGCGTACCCCTAGGGGTACTTTAAAAGGTTCTAGGGGGTACGCAGAACTAATGTGGCTGATATATACTGCATGCGTGTGCACAGATGCAGCGCAGCACACAGGTGGCCAGGAGAGTAGCCAGGTCCAGCTGGTAAGTGTGTTGTGAGGGGGCTGGGGGGCAAGGGGGGGCCCAGGGGGGGGGGTGGGGGCGGGGGCTCCCCAGCCAGAGCAGGCGCAGGACTGAGCTGTGCGGGGGGCAGTTTCCGCCTCTGTGAGCACCCCAAGAGGGCATGGGGGCGTGTGCCCCCAGATCTGCGTTGGGCAGGGCGGGATGCCACTGCGGGCTGGGACTGAGACTGGGACTATGCTGTGCTCTCAGCAGGCAGTGGCAGCGCTGGGAGGGGCTACAGGAGGAGCTGCAGCCACCCCAAAATTCATTGTAGCCCCTCCTGATAGTCTCTTCTCAGTGCTGCCACCACCCACCCCCAGTGCAGCCCAGCCCAGCCCCTGCCAGGAACAGCCTGGCACCAGGCCCAGCCCACAGCTGCAGTCCACCTTCCCCCATGCAGATCTGGGGGCACATGTCCCCATGCCCTCCCAGGGGTGCGCGTAGCTGCAGGAGTTGCTCCCCCCAACACAGCTCAGTCCTGTGCCCTGCCCCTGCCCTACTCCCTCCCCCACCACTGGGCAAGCCCGCCCTCACCCTCTGTGCAGATCCATGGGCACACAGCTCTCCTGGGGTGTGTGCACTGGTGGGAGCTGCCACCCCTCCTCCCCGCACCCCTCAGATGAGCCGCTTGCAGCTCCATCCCATGGCTCTGCCCTGGCTGTACAGCACCAGCCCCACTCCCTCCCTCACTGCGGGGGCCTCGATTTGCCCCCTTAAAAACAAGAACAAAAAATAACGGTGGTGTACATGAGCTAGAACTTTGAGAGAGAAGGGGTACACTTGTTAAAAAAGGATGAAAACCCCTGTAACAGACCATTCAGTATTTTAGAGTAGAACTACTTTTAATTATTTTTAATTGATTAAATTGTTATTTAAATAATTTATTTCCTGTTTTGAAACACATGCATTTCTTTTATACTGATCTAGCAAAAAGGCATCACTTTTTTGATAAGATTCTGCATGGAGAAGAAGGAGTTGCACATTCGCTGCGAGAAAATTCACAACAAACGTATGACGATCAGGCCTTCTCTGAAACTGGGGATGTTGCATCTATTCCAGATGCTCCAAAAACGTCCGTTGAAGTACTTGGACTAGAAGGGTCAACTGGTAAGCTAACTATACCTTGACAAATGTTCCTAACATTCGTAACTGTTTTAACACTTCATAATTATTATTAATTAATTAGAAGATTTGTTTCATTCTCATCCCCCAAAATTCTTATTTACTAGCACAAGATGATTATGCTACTTATTTTCTTAATAATGAAATTTGCCTCTATTGAGTGCCAGACTGGCATTACAAATCAAAGTCCTCTTTGTTCATATCCAAAATGTAATGGGGCTGGCATCTAGGCACCTGCCAAAGTACTGATTTCTTCACCACTAGACAATAGGGCCAGTCCTTGTCTCTGTCATCAAAATGAATATAATGTATATATTCTTGTATCTAATTATATATTTTTCTGGTTCAGTTTCAGTCTATGTTCTTATTAATTCCAAAGACTTGATTCTTAAATGTTTGACAAAAAAGTTGTTAATGCAGAGAATCATTGATCCAAAGTATCAGTGGATTGGTCCCATGGGATTGATAACCAAAGGTAAAGATATTTTTATTATGGACAGCTAATTACACATTCTAACTTGCATTGACTTAAACTCTTATAAAGTAGGCAGAAGGGAAAGGGTAGTGTGAATAAGTTCATTGCATTTGCAGGGAAGCATAAATGGATTATAATGAATATAATACATTCAGAAGAGTAATAATTTAAGTACAGAGCAATATAAACAGTTTGAACTGTATATTTGCTACAGTTCTAAGGTTGAATTATTTGATAAGACAAATTTATAAATTTTCCGTATATAGAATCGAATTATTGGAAGGTTGTCTTATAGTCAAGTAAATATGGTGGTAAGAGGAAAAGTAGGAAAAAGAAGGACATAAAAGAACAAGTGAAAGAGAAAACAAAATGAAATAATGAAAAATTGATGAGGGTAAAGGGAAAAAAAGGAGAGGACTAAGGAAAGAGAGAGATGAAAGGAAAGATAAGCAGAGAAGAGGAAGAGGATGAATAGAAATAAATTATACAGATCTGAATGCTGTGTACCATTCTCTCTCAGGGAGTGATAAATTCAACAGATAAATTTACTGCAGATCAGATTTAGATCTCTTACTCGTAAATCCAGAGTAGCAGAAAACACGCCCCTAAAATATTAGAGATAGTCATCTGGTTCAGAACTGGGTATGCACTATGCATCTCCCCATTTATGCAATGTCTCTTGTATTATTTTAGCCCTTTTCACAGAGTCCCTGTTCTGTTTGTGAATTAAGCCAGGGAAAATGGATGATCCCTTGTCCTTATGTGACAATAAGTTTGACCTAAAACTTCAAGTAACTCAAGACTGTAGCTTTTTGCACAAAACCACTTTCTACTGGGAAATCCCCTTTTAGAGAGAGCCATGAGGATTATTGTTGTATTCAAGAAGAAAGAAAGCTTTGGGCAATAAAATGCCCAACTCTTTTAATCCACCAATAAATTTGTGAAAATATCTGTGAAGGGAACCTTGAGGAGTGTTTTTCCCAGCAGGGGAAGGGATAAGGAGTATCTGGAACTGTTCTCCCTTCAGAACTCTGAGTGAAGTGAAAGGTCTGCTGTGGATAGAAGGCAATGTCATTTATCAGCTTTGCAGAAAGCAAGTTTTGTTTGGTGATACCTTTTACTTGACCAACTGTATAGTTGGGAAAGATGCTATACAACCTTTTGGACACAAAACTAAAAATGTTGTTCTTCCCTGCACTCAGATTAAATAATGATCTTCCCCAGGCTTAATAAAAAATATATTTTATATATGAAAATCAATGCTATAAACAAACTAATAAAATTTAGAAATTACATCAAATTTTACTCCTGAAAATTCAAAGATTTGCACTGTACAGCTATTTGCAGGCTTTGTTGAGAAAGATTATTCATGTATTCTGCTTGTATTTGAAGATTCAGTTGCTTGATCAAATAGCAAGATAACTAGGACTGACAGAAGAAAAGTTTTGGGGAGATCCAAAAAACTCAACATTTTTTAAAACTTTTTGTTTTAACCTCTTGCTTTAACTTAGGTCTAAATTTCTTAAACTTTGAATAAATGTTGCAATACTCAAAACTATAGTAGATTTAAAAGCATTAGAAATTCTCTCTGTTAACTTACTAGGCACATTCTTCCAGATCAGAGGTCCAATGGATAGTATAGTGGATTGAAAATCTAGATGCCTGAATGATAGTTCAAACTTTTATGTTGACTTGCTCTGTTACCTTGGACTAGGCCCTATATCTATATCTATCTCAGAATCAGGGCAAGAGTAGTCTAGTTCCCCTTGTTTTCCCATGCCCCTATGTAACAGAATCAGACCCTAGGGCACCCTGACATCCCTTGGTGGCCAAATGGCAACTGCCCAGCTCTGGTTCTAAGGTACCCTCCCTTTAACATTTTCCTGCCATGCCTCGATGTAATTGATTGGGTTTTTAAAAGGGAAGCTGCCTAAGTGTCCTAAAGCAAGACCCTACAGTCTGCCAGCAGATTCCCTTTCTGAAAACTGCTAGCCTCCAAATACCATCCTCAAGCAAGATGGGCCTCCTTGGCCTGTCCATGCTCCAGGGCACCTGTAGCCTGAAGGGCTAATTACATGGCTCCAGTCGCCCTTTACATCATGCCAATGCCTCACAGATGTCACTGTACCACCATTCCCTTGTTGGGCCCTTGGCCTTCTCAGCCTCCACTCCTTTTCTCTATCTGGGCCTTCTAGCCTAGCTCTTGATTACCTTGATTCTGAGCCCCCTGGCCCCGTCTCTACCCTGCTCTGGGCACTTTCTGCCCTTCTCTGAGCCCTGGGCCCCCTAAGCCCAAGCTCTGCCTTCTCAAGTGCTAGGCCCCCAGCCCCAAGTTCTGCCCTTCTCTGGGCTCTGACCTTGATCCCAGGCCTCTATCTGTGTGTTGAGCTTGACTCCTCTTAGGCACTAGTGGGACTTCCAAAACCACCCCACACAATCCCACCCAAACCACTGGTTCAAGTCATACATAAGCACATAAGCCAGCTAGCTCAAACAAAACTCCCAGCCAACCCTCTGTTTGCCCAGCTTCCCCTTATCTTGGGTCCTTCCCCCACTGCAGCAAACATTTAGTGTCTTACTGGCATTGTCAGGCATTCCAGGGATCAGCAAAGTCTCCCCCTTCATCTTTCCAGGGCAGGAGCTCTTAACTCTGGGGCTTACTGGGTCAGACTGCCTGCTCACTCTCAGGCACAGGCTTTAAGAGTCTTGCAAGCCCCATCCCATACAGTCATGTGATTCTGTAGGTACTCACAGGAGTTTCCCCTTCTGTGCCTGATTACATGCTTGCCCTCCCTGCTAGAGCTCAGGTCAACAGTCTGCAGCCCCTTGTTTCTAGACTGACTCCCTTCCTGCCCTTGTTGCCTTACATTGCTCTGCCCAGGGTGAGTTACCTTCCCATAGTTGTCCTGTCCCTGTGCCTTGCACCCTGGGCTAGCTGCCAGCAGACATTTCATTAGCAGATAGCTTGTTTCTTAGCTGCCAGTCCTGCCTGATTCAGCTCAGCCTGGTACTCTTTCCTCCTAAAGAAACAGGAGCCTTCTGGCTTCCTGTTACACCCTGGTTTCCCCATTCTACGATATGCTACTGCCATGTTATAGGTAAGCCCTTTGTGTCCAGGAATTCTTGCACCTGGAATTCCTCATGATCATGGATAACAGGCAGGATGGCAGTAGCATCAAATGGCCAAGACATTAGTTGGTGTCATAGGGATTTAAAAGGGACATATAGAACACTGTATTTTCATATGCTGTGGTAAACCCAGCTTTAAAGTGAATGGGTTGATCCGCCTAATGATGGTGAGAACACGTGGGTGACTTCTGAGCTAGCTTATCAGAAGGCAGTGTGCAAGGAAAATGTGATATGGATACTGCCTAGTGCACAAGTCAGAGACAGAATCTAGGCAGAGGTCAGGAGGGTCAGTAGTGAAGAGGAGAGAGACTGGCAAGCAAGCAGGAACTGGGACCAAAGCCAGGAACTAGAGACAAGACAGAGGCTCAGGAACTGGGAGACAAGACAAGAAGGCAACGAACAATCATAGCTAGAAGCTGGTAAAGCATTGGGCAGGTTATTTATCCAATTTGATTTATGTGCCACACATCCTAGAAAAGATTCGGGGCAGCTTACAATTAAAAACAAACAAACAACAAACTTAAAAACAAGAGAACGACAAGAAAACAAAAACAACTGAAAAGATTGCCTTCTTCCTGTGTGACATGGACCATAAAGGAACTGTGTATGATAGCTAGTCAGCCCACAGGTGTGAAAGAAGCATCTATTCTAACCCTAAATCTAGGAGGATAGGTAGGGTTTGGGCCTGCCAAAGGCTAAGAATCTTCTCCATTATAGAGGGATGGTAAAGGATTTGTAGTCCTGGGATAAAACATATTTGTAGTCCTGGGATAAATCATGAGGAATGGCTTTACAGGCCTCTCAAAACTAAAAGTCTTCCCTGATATCAGGGACAGGCTATAGGTCCAGAGCTGTAACTGATGGATTTGAAACAATGGGGAAAAACAGATTTAAAAGTGAAAGTTTCAGAGAAAACACCAGGTGCATGACAGTGAGTCATCCTTCCTGTGTGTAATGGCAGGTCATCACGAAAAAGGACTTAGGCACCTAAATTTTAGGCACTTGTATCCCAGAGTAGAATTTGAAACCCTAGGCTTCATGTACAATGCATAGAGAAAGTTGAGTGCCTCAGAATGGCAATCTAAGGATATAAATGAATGTTGTCTGTGAAGCGGGATCAATTGTGCTAGGATGTGCCCTAGCACAGCTGATCTGCTTCATTGGTGTCACAGGGCTGTTGTCCTGCAGGGTCAAGCCCCTGCCACTTCTGGGGCTTCCGGGGCCCGATCCTGCAGGACAATGGCCCCAGGGGGGTACACATTTGAAGCAGGGCATCTGCCCATGGGGGTTTGCATAAGATGGAGTGTGATGGTGAGATAGGCACACTTCAGTAATTCCCTGCAGGGGAATTCCCAAGGCATGCAAGAAACAAACAAGAAGATATCCTCCCCTTTAAGGCATCACAAACTGTGACTACCTTTGGTCATAGCTAGGGGTGCGCAGATAAAGATTTTATTGGCTGATACCAATAGCCAATATGCCGGGTGAGTAAATTACTAATATCAATCTGATAACCAATTTACAGGAATGCAGCTGAGCAACATGGAGAGCAGTACCCTGAAGGTAAGTCTGTGTAGGGGAAGGGGTGTGGAGGGGGGCAGATCGAGGCCCCTAGGGTGAGGGATGGAAAGGGGAAGGACAGCGGGATGGAGTCACAGGTGGTTTGTTCAGGGATCAGCATTCTGGTGCTTAGAAATGGCAGCAGGGGCACTTGAACTAAAGCTCATTAAAATGAGCAATTTTAATTATCCAGACATCTCCTGGGAGGAACACTTGGCTAAATTGGATTGGTTGTGATCCTCCCTGACCTGTGTCAAGGAGCTCTTTGTGACACAGGAGGTGCATGGGCCAACCAGAGGTGATGCTCTGCT